TCAAGGATAACATTTACGTTCTATTTTTAAACTTAATATATTATTAATATTTGTACATACATAAAATGTATAGGTTTGCTTTCTTTGCTTTTAATCGAAATTTGTTTGATGTCGAATATTTCAATAGTCCAAAGAGATGACAAACTTGTCAAAATATGTAACACATTTTTCATAAGTAAGATAACGTGTAAAATAAATGAAAATATTTTATTTAAATAACATTAATTTATAATATAGATATTAATTTAACGTTAGAATAAGAATAAATAAATAAAATTTTAATTTCGCATATTGAATAATTTTGTTATTTTCTTTTATATGCCTTTTATCATAATCATGAATTGATTTAATCCGTCTTCTTTTAAAAAGATTATACTTTAATACAAAAAGCCAAGCAATATTCAAAATTAAAAATCTTTTTTAGATGTGTTATATGTGAAACATTGTGCATGCATTTAATATCGTTTGAAACCGTTCGAGTAGCTTTCGATGAAAGTATACAGAAGATACCGTATAAAGCCTTATAAACCCTCTCACAAAAAGAAGCACAGGAATATATAAACGTCCTGACATTGAAGAATATTTGTCATGTCACTCGTAATATATTAGGATACACTGAGCGAGTGCAAAGCACTGTTTATGCAGAATGAGCTGTTTTCGATTCCTGAGATTTCAGATCTATCCAAAGGAAAAACGATAAATGTAAACGGAATCTGAGTTCTTCCTAAATAAGAAAAGTTGCAAGAATGTTGAAATAGCTGACCCGTCCGTCATTTATCACTGTTCCGTCGGGATTGTTCGAGAAATAAGTTTAAATTGCCGGAAGTTCTAGTTAAATCTCTAATGGCTTTTCAATGTGCGAACTGCTTGAATTAGTTCATTACTCCCTCCCTGCGAAAGTTGCTGAAGTTTAATTAGAGAAAGTTTGTCGTCGAACAATATACAAAATATTTTCGATTATCTCGAAAACAAAAAATATATTAACGTATATTTGTATGTACATATATATTTGTGAGGCTTACGCAAGAATTTTAAGTCGTACACACTTTTAAGAAAATTATAAAGACAAAAAACCTTGTAGGTTTACATTATTTAAACAAGATATCGCATATTCGAGCGTTTATTCCCAATTTGTTATTATTAGCTCTTTGTAATATCTAGAATTAATTTAAAAATTATAAATTCTTAAACAAAGTAATTGCTGCATCATGAAGCGTAAAAACGAAATAAACTTAAAAATTTATATGAAAATAGGTATTACATGAAATTTATTCGTGGAAGTTAAAAAATATATAAAGAGTATAAAAATATAAATGTATATAAAATATATAAAGAATATAAATTTTAGATATCTTCTAAATTGCTTTTAAAAGGGAAGACCAACTCTCTCTCTTTCTCTCTCTCTCTCTCCCCCTTCTCTCCCCTTCCCCACCCCTTGTCTCTTTCTAGCATTTAAGAAAAATACCTACAACTAAAAAAATAAAGATAATAAATAAGAAACTAATTTTTGGTTTCAATTCATCACGATCAATTAACTTTATTTCGAACAACGCTATAAAATTTCTCGCTGAGAAAGAGATATACATACATTCTTTCCATGAATTTCATCTTATTATAGCTGCTATTATTATCGACGACATTCTGGAAGACGTTATACTGTGAAGGGAAGCTCTTCCCATTTAGGCGATATCGTGAGAGTCAAACTCAGTCGACGACTTTGTCGGATTTTCCTCGAAGAAAAATGAGTAACAAGGAACCTGATGTTATTATATTCCATAGGGAACATGATGGGAGAAGGAGGAAGTGTCCACAAAAGAAAGAACGAATTTTTATATTATATACAATAATAGACAGCTATTCGTCTCGACACGATAATAAGAATCGAATAGGGACTATCAATGTTTGGTTCGAGTATCTCGGCTTATCGATAAAGCTCGCATATTTTCTCAGCTTACATTGAGGGCTACAAATGTTTATACTTTTACCGATACTATTCGAATGTTGCGATACTATTCGAAGTGACACAATGCAATTGCGCGAGAAATCACATCTCATCGCAGGTTTACTTAATATCAGAATAATAATCGTTTAGAGCTTACGTGAGCGTATATACACTGCATATAAACAGAACTTCAGTTCGCGATGAAGTTACAATAGAGCTTACATATCGATGAAACTCCGGCGAAACTTTGCCATCTAAACGCGAAATTTCTTAAGTGTTGCATGACGACGAGATACAGGCGCGAGGCAGATTGCATCTACAATTGGCCGGGTATTAAACGTCCGCATCGATGGACTGCTTGGACAAAGTTAGTATATTCGTGATTTGGAGCATAGATTGGTTTGTTTTAGCATGTTCAATATTACTTCTAAGACAATGAACAATGATTTATTGTGTATAACTCGTTGTTATTTCTGCAATATTCCATATAAAAAAAAAGTAATTTTAATTATTTTCATACATAATAAAATATAATTTATAGTATTTATGTATAAAATTATAGTCATTCTGCGTATTCTCATTTCGAATAATTTACATCAAATATAATACAGAGTCTCCTTTTCTCTTTTCTAGTATTTGCATTCGAATAAAAGTTTAATGAAGGAATTGGAAGCAGATATCTCTGTTATTCATTCATAAAGTTTATAACAGGAGCGAGCTATGGTGATTTAATATCTTGATAATTTTCGTAAGTTAAGCCTTACAAATGTAAATAGATAATAAACTTAGTATTTTGATTAGTTTCAAGTAATACCCAACTTTATATTTCAGTTAATTTTAATAAATCACGGACCTTTAATAATTGATGAGAAATCCCGTATTTTTTTCACTTACAATTAGTTTGTGAATAGATAACTTCGTATTTCGATTAATTACAGAAGAAATTTATTTTTGCAGAATTTTAAATTAAAAACTAATTCTCATAATATTCAATATTAAAAAAATAATTTTTTATAAAATTTTTATTATTGAAATATTATCAAGCGATTTATAATTAAATACACTATATCGTTAAATGTTATATAGAATTTTATGTTATGTGGAACTTTTCGATAAAATAAGATTTAAATGATTTATTATAAGCATAACATAACATTTATAAACAAGAGTGACTTAGGTGAATGAGTAATTTACACATTAATATAAAAGTTCGCATAAAAGACATCTTGAAGTTAGCTTGCCCCACAATAATTCTGTTAGAAGAAACGCATTCGCTGAGCAGATGATTAGTTGCTATACAACGCAACATAATATATAAAGACAGAAAATGGAATTTTATGCAACATATTATAATCTGAAATCTTATAAAACGCTTCAGTATCTTCATCAAATATCTCTGATTCGATTTTTGCTAAAATCTAGTGTAACATATCTCTTAACGTTTTTTCGTTAATATATAAAATGAGATAAACAATATTATATTACTGTATTATATTACTTTTTGATATTATAATAATATTAATGTATGTGCAATTATTGTAGAGAATATTATTAAGAGATTTTTAATTTATTCGTATATGTTATATTAATCCGAATACGCGTAATATAAAATTTCCAATAACATTTCAAAGTACGAGTAATTTTCTCTCTCGCCATTTCTCTCTTTTATTTATTTTATCTTTTGCATATTACGGACATGGGGAAGAAAATGACTGTAATGTGTAATATCATGATATTTTCTTTCAATGTAATTGTTGTAATAATATAAGAATAAATATAATTGTTATTTTTGAGTCTTTTTGTAACTATACATATATCATCAATTCAGTATATATCTACTTATATGTATTATAATACTTTTTTACTATCTCCTCTAAATTATCTTTAAAAGATGAAAACATAATAAGAATGTTAATATATTAACAAGTATTATATATATATATAAATTATTATAACGATCGCATCGAGAATGACGTTTTCTTGAAAATTAAAAACAATACAGCGACAGGTGAGATAAGGACAAGACAAGATGATTCTTGACACGATAAGGTAGTTGAAAAAAATTATGCGTCGTTTACATCCGAAAAATACCTTTCTATGGCGAATTATATATGTAGTTGCTCTAGGATAACTTTGATCAGCGATGCGATGCGAGATCACCTTACAAAGCACGACGTTAGACAAAGGTTGGGGTTTTATCCGGCGTATTCGGGTCAGATATCAAATAGCTATTCGCCGGCAGGCAAACACGACTCGTCGCACCTTTAGCGAACTATATTAAATTACCAATTAGCATACCGAGATGGCGGACGAGAATATTTGCTCGCTGTGCTTACAAACGGAAACCACGTGTGACGTGAGGTACTTCTCTCGGAAGATTTTGAGTCAAGTCAAGGCAGTTACGAAGCTACGGAGCGAGAAGGGACCACTTGAAAAGTGATGGAGAGCTTGGCTGTAATACTTACATCGTGTCGTATGAATAATGCATTATTAACAACTTACGCGGATTATAAAGAACATAAATTCACAATCACGGATAACTGGGTACGAAGGAATACGCGATCTGAAGTTTCAGAAAAGATTTATGTCGTCGCATTTGTCGAGCGTATAATCGGATGTAGCACCGTTCACGTTCCTTTGCGCATTTTCGTGCCAAGATGAAAATCTTTTATGTTTTAGTACATCATTTTACCGTCTTTACACATTGTTGACCAATTGTTTTTTCTCACTATATATAGATTACAGTTCTTGATAAATTTCCGATATTCAAACTCTCCGTCTCGCGCTAGTCGACCTAAATTCACGCGAACGATATTTCCACGTCATAAAAGTGCAATCTTCTCGCGATGAAAGTATTGCGGCGACTATAACGCACTTCTTTGAGGCGAGCAGATTTTGTCGCGATTATGTTTAATCACGCAGAATGATCGATGTACGACAAGTACGTGGCGCGACACGTATCTTCTTTGGAAGATTCGTCGGGAGCACGGTAGTTATTACATGGTTCATTACAGCAGTCTGCGCCAATCGTGTCTCGTAAAAAACTTGCGGGACTCACCTTAAAGTCGATGTAGCCATTCTTGTCCATGTCGAATGTGCGGAACACGTGGTCGCAGAATTCTTCCGCGTTACCGGACGGGAAGAACATTTTGTACATGTCGACAAATTTCGCCGGCGTTAACCTGCCATTAGGACAGTCTTGCTGTAACATTCGAAAGAACACAAGACCGTGAATTTTCGAGTTAGGATTTTCTATGTTACATACGTGTAATGCATTTCTAGTCTAACATAATTTTTGGACTATTTTTCTTTGTTCTTATTTATTGAACTATTTATACATATCTCTTTAATTATTATTAGTATACCTATAAATATGCGATACCTAATAGTTTAATATTTTTTTTTTGTATTTTTGTCGTGTTTTTTCTTTTTTTTCATTCCTAAAGTATATACATACTTATATCTCTAATTATATTATTATAGATAATATAATTATAACAATTACAGTATGCATTAAATTTCGATCGCACTGCGTTAATTATTGCATGACATTTTCGCAATTCTTTATACATTATTTTTTACTGTACTTTTCACAATTTTAATTTTTTTATCATTTAACTATTAATGTTTTTTTAATAGAGATACATTAAATTATAAAAAGACATTAAAACTTTGTTTTTGAAAATTATAGGAAAATTAAACATGTTATAGTAACGTAGAAACTAAGTTGCTCAAAATGTTACCTTGAGTAATAACCAAATTTACGTCAACGAAAATAGCACTTACGTATACCAAGTAAGAAGAGTATATATTTGCGTCAGTACGTTCTTCATATATTTAATTGTAAGATACATTAAATATAGAGATATATATTAAATCGGTCTGAATAAAAATACTTTATACTAAAATTATGTCGTGTCTAAATTAACCGATTTGACTAAAGACTTTCATCCGCATAGTGAATTTTATTGATCGCAGAATATACCTCAGTCTTGCCGCTTGAACGCAAGATATGGGATCCCGAGAAAAAAAATTACGTCGTTAAGTGTCATCGCTCCCGTCGTATCAGATTGGCCTTAATCTAGTGTCGTTCGTCTCATTTTTAAAAAGAAGCGAACGACGCCACTTCTGCACGATATTTTTCAATCTCCTTCGACCGCGCTTCTCTATCAAGGTCGATGCGCGGTGATCAGTTTTCATTTATCAATCCACAGACTCAGCTAAGTCGCGTGCGAGATTCATTGCAAATCGCACGAGAGGAAGCGGGCAATGAGCAGCTGTGAAACGCGACTAGATTGCGGAACGTCCGCTATAAAGATTCTACTCAGTTTAATTAGTCCGGTCGCCACGAGCTTCTCTGGATCCGCGCCCGTTTAAACTGTTCGAGAGTAACTTTTCTGCGGCACTAGCAGCTTTTGCAAAAACGTCACATCCTGTTCCTGATGAATCTAACTTGGGCACGAGTTTTCATAATATAGATTGATTTAAGTATCTTACAAAAATGCTTGAAATGTTGTTAACGATACGGTACTTTTTAATGTATTATATTTATAAACTTGGCACACATTATGTGTTAATACTTGAAAATTAATCAGCTCTTAATTTCGTTATTTCACATATGCATTCGCATCAAATTGCGATAATTGTTCAGAGCGACAAAGCAACGAATGTTGATATGATAGCGTACAATGTAATTGTATAGAATTATAAGTATAATATTATAAAGGTAGCTTCAAGCAATGCTGAATAAATATTTGTATTATATGCTGTATTATAAATTATATACAGACATGTTATTTGCGTTGTGCGAATGATAATATGCGCTAAGATAATAACGTTCTAATTATATCTAATAATGATCTATATGCCAATAACTAAATATCAAATTTATAATGTCGCACGTACATCATGTCTCAATATATTGAATATTTAAAACAAATTATGGAACTCATCGCGTCAACGTGATTTATTTATACGCGTCGAATATATGAGAAATAAATTAATATTTACCATAGAGTAACTAAATGAACATCGTACATCGCGATAATTAGTTTCGGGATCTTCTCAAACGACTATTTTATAGGTAAATAACATATTGACATTGGATGATAACATATCACAGTGATATAGAGATATCATTGTTAATTATGCCACATTAATCATACTACATTTTAATTTTTAATTATTAATAAAATGTGACAAAGCATTTCACAATATAATGGGACAAATAGTGTTAGTAATAACATTATCGAGTACTTTGCATTTCTGTGTATAAAACTCAAATTCATATTTAAATTTATATTTATAAATATTTATAAATATTCATATATTAATATAAATTTATATATAATATAAATTTATATTTATGAAACGCATCTAATTAAAAATTAAAAATATTTGTAAAACGTCGTTACACTTAAATTAAGTTTCATATTTTCGAGATGAAATAAGGTACGGATAAACAGATTTTTTGCTAAAATATGTTATAACCGAAAATTCTTACTTATGAAATTTCGTAACCATAAACCTCTCTTCGTATAATTTCGTATAAACATTTTCTCTGCTTCTTTACGAGGAAAAAAGCGATACAGTTTTGCGCCACTCATATTTGCGAAAATATCGCAGCGTATTTTATGTGTCATAATTGCGGGTGGCAACATTTATTAATGAATTTGGCAACATTTATTAATGAATTTGCATCAATTTTATTCATATATTTATACAGATTTTCACAAATTACCGATTAGTAAATATTTGTTTACTGTTACGCTGAACTAGCATCATTAATGATAGTCATCGCTCTTTTTTAACACATCGGCAAATTATGAGATATCCTTATTCAGTTTTTTCAGAATATTCAGAAGGTGGATTGATTTGTTAATTAATGTTTTTTTATATCTTCTTCTTTATGTGTACGCTTTTATTTTTAATGGAACTTTATAGCTCTAGAAGCGCATTTATATTTGTGTTACGAAATTTTTATAATAAGTCAACGCAAAAATTTCTTTCATCAATATTTTATTTTATCATGCATGACATATATGCGCACTATATATTATATTTTAAAAAATATTTATAATCACGAAAAACTGTATTAAGACGTAATTAAAAATCATTTAAAAATAAATTAGTAAAAGTAATAAAAAATAATCGATAATTGCATAGAATTATTAATAATGTAATAGATATTATCATATAATTCATTCATCATGTAGGAACTACTTTAAAATATTATCTAATATTAGAAAAAGTTTTTAGAAAGAAACAAATTTTTAAAAAGAAAAACTATATTTGCAATATAAACGTTAAATTATTTATTTTCTGCAGCAAACTTGTCTTGTCTAGGTCTTTTCATCATACTAGTATTTGCATTATCTCGTGCTCGTTATTACGCACAGAGAAATAATGGAAATATTAAATGATTTAAGAATTCTAACAATAGTTCATGCAAATAAATGTGAAGCTCTCAGCTTCTCTAGAAATGAAAACTGTTCTTTCAACGCTGGAAACAGTTTGTGCAAAATTTTTCATTTCCCAACAAAGCATTTGTTTAAACGTCTTTTATTGTCAGTGTCGTAATATATCATAGGAAAAGTATGCGATTACGGTAAGAATATACGGAGCGAAATTGAGGTCGCTATGAAATATATGAAATCAGAAGGATTGAATGTTTATAGTAAATTCGATCTAATTCTTGATCCATAATTTAATATCCAGTAATCTCTTCGATACTCACTTTAAAACCTTTGTACCATTCCTTTATAGTCGCTTCATCGTATCGCGTATGCGACTTGAGGAAGTCCATATCTTCTTTGCTCAACTTGTCTTTGCTCCCGAAACAACCCATTTTGATATCTGCAACAATTAATAAAACATTTCGTAAGAACAAACGTAATTTTCGATAATAGCTCTTGGAAACATTTTTCATTGCATTGAACAGAATTATCACAATTCAAAGGATTAAATTAATTTCTAGAAGCAGTAGATGAAGCAGAAGATGGGATGATTAATTTAACGATTAATTTAATATCTAAAAACAGAGGTGATCAATGTGGATTATTAATTTCTACAGATAGGGATTATATATTGTCATTTTCTTCCTCTGTATTTGAAGAAGTAAAGTCTCATATCTTTCATCCCGATGTGCAGTTTCAACCTTAGACTGTATTTCTAGATTAGTGATTTCGACCATTATGACTATACTATTACGCTTTTCGCAAAACTTTCTACGCGACAAATTTGAGCCAACCAAGTGCACCGCGCATATTTAATGTCGGTGAATTATGTTTTAGCAGCACTGAACGAATTATAAACCCGTAAAATAACATCGGTATGCAAATGAGTGTCTTCTACTCCTCTAACTTTATTTTATCCTATTCTATATTTTATACGGAAAGATATTTGCATACTTTATTATGATAACAGTCAATATTATCGATCTCTTTGCAAAACTTTATAAAATTTCGTTTAATTTATTAAGTACTATTAAGAGAGAAGTACTACTATATAGTATGCTATATTACTTAAGTACTACTATATAAATACAATATGCTTATAAACAATATTATCGTAATGTCTTAGTGATTTTAACATTACAGTATGAAATTTGGTACAAATATTATTCGTTAAATGAACTCAATAACGAAGTTGTATTGTAAAAATTATTATTCTAAAATTAAACTTTTTCAAACAGCGATTTAATAAGTACAAGTATTTATTATGGAAATAGTACCTACTAATTTTTAATGTTATCGATTTAATTTTATTATTTCTTGATCATTGTGTATAAAAAAGTTGCGTGTAAACGATATTATTATAAAAATTAAGAAATGATATTTCTTTGTAATATTACAATACAATTGACGATTTAATATTAAAATATTTGACTGTTAAATTAATGCATTGAAGAATTTTAAGAATTTTATAATAATATAAATGTAAATAATAATAATGATAATAAATTATTGAAATACCTACCAAAATATTTTTCAGGAGAGATCAACCCACATAAATTCTACGTTTCTAATTATAGGAAATGTCTAATGGGAAAATATTCATCACAATTGCGTTTACTTTTGAAATACTATTTTTAGTACTCCGCTTTTTATTTTTAAGCAAAATGGAATTTTAATGCTTTAATTTTGTTCCAAGGAGAAAGAGATTAATTTGTCGTAATTTTTCAGAAGACAAAAATAAAACAGAAATATTTACATTGCAAAATAAATTTCTCAGGAAAACAGAAACCAAGTATTAAAACTTTAATTTTGTCTAAAATACAGGACGATGTGAACACAATGTTCCCGACTAGCAGATTTCTTGTAAGATTTCGCGAAAAATACATATAATTGATACCTTGGTCCAGCAACTTTGCGATATAAAGCCGAGCGATCTTGATAACGGCTACACGGAAGTTCTTGCCTGTTGTTACATGGTAAGAGACCGTACGTAATTTTCGATGTCGTGTATCACAGTGTGCCGTATATTGCATGCACATAATGCACGCAACGCACGCTCGTCGGTTGCACTCTTGACCGAAATTCATTGTAATGTTACCGTAAATGGCAGGATATCGAAACCATGTGATTGAAATGACGATGACGTACGTCATAGTCATAGATATAAATGTACTAATTAGAAAGGACAAACAAGATGCTTTTAATAATTATTGAGGGATCAGACTTATAAATCGCTTCCGTATTACAAGAGAGAGTGACTAAGAATTGATTTATTATATGAAACTTATATTCATCTATTTGCTATAGTAGCATGATTTGTTTTACAATGATCGTTTGATTTTTCATCAACTTGATTAATATCTTTTTTATCATACATATTTTAAAATTATATTTTTATATTTTCTTTCCTGAACATTTTTTGTAATTGTGTTTATATTATACATGTCTTTTAATTTATTATTATATAAATATTTTCCATTTTGTGAATCTCATTATTTTAAAATAAATAAAAAAAACGTAAATTTTTTCTGAATAATTTATCAATTCTATCATTTTCTTTTGTTATAATAATATAATTTTATGTTTCTCAGGTTTACTTATAATTAAAAACTTATGGGTCACTTACAGCGATGGATTCCATGTAGGAATTATCCCGAGCCATCTCCAATAAAGAAATATATAGGTAATTAAACATAACTAAAATAACATAAATAGCAATTTTTAGCCACAAAATTAATATATTAATTATATTAATTATAATAAATTAAAACTGGGTAAAAAGTAATTAAAAATGATAAAAAATGTAAAATCTTAATATTACACCAATGTAAAGTATCTACTAAAAATCTCCCAATTTTTATCATAAAATGATATTAAATTCAATAAACAAGCAGATAAAAATTTCAGAAGTCAACATCGTTCTTCTCTATCTAAATAAATGCATAAGCAAAATATTCATCTTTTCCATTGCTAAAATCTTTAAAGACACAATTTGCATATAAACTGTTAAATTCATCATTATCAAATATATACGCAAAATGCACAAATATTATAGAAAAATAAAAAATAATTACTATTATGCTAAAATTCCATAAATAATTATATTGTTAATTAGTGCCTAAGTTTAAGAATATATAGTTACTGAACACTTAATTACATAGTATAAATTATATATTATAGTTAGTAATTAGTACTTAAGTTTAAAAAAGCTTAAAAATCTCAAGATTAATCTTAAAATAATGTAAGTAGGTAACAGAATGTTCAGCAACCTTGAGCCCCATTATGCAGTACGTATATGCAGGTAACTTGTATACCACGATAGCAAAGAAAGGATTAATCGTTATGCCGACGTTGACGTACGAGTAATGTCGTAATGAGCTTTGGTCGATACGCGGTTGGAATTGCGAGAGACTCACTCGTTTCCCGTCGAAACGAAGATGGAAAGGGTGGGCCAAGGATCATTTCGACGAGAAGGAAATGACCGCGATCGTGACCAGCTTGAGAACGATGATTGTTCGTGGCCGACCGATTTAATGCCGGTACCAAACGATATAATGGTGTCGCGCGTTAAGTAACAAAAGTGTACGCCTCCGCGTTATTCGCGAACGTGTGAAATGTGAAATACATAAATGTAATTAACGCTGACGCGTTTCGCGGTGGCGCCGACCGAACGCCAACGAAGTCGCGCCCCAGTTATTTACGAGATTAAGGATACGGATGAAGATTAACGGGGCCACATGTATACGTGCTCGAGTTTCGGTAGTCGATTATTCCACGGCGAACCGCCACTTGAGTTAATGTGCCACATTCGCAAACTCTAAAGTTCTCGCGCGAGAAGAAATTATATGTTCGAGGTTTTTCTCTCCTTCCTTCTCTCGCTTTTTTCTCTCTCTCCATCTTGACGGACGTCTTAAACTATTACTAAGAGATATTAGGTACACATTCACTGTACATTAATCGCTGCCGTAAAAAGGTTTTGTTCTTGCTGCAAGTTTTAATGACGAGGAGAAACCGACGAATCCCATCAGAAGGAATTTATCGATCGTGCTCTAAATGCGAGGCAAAGATTATATAATAAATAGTTGCCAATGTATCTTTTCTTCTTTACTTTTACGCTTTGAGAATTCGATCTTTCGGAATTTCGATAAATGAAAATTGAACCGAAACGTTCAAACTTGCATATTAAAAATAAATTTTGTTCATTGATTTATATTACGCACTGCAACCCACGTCCAATTCTCATCAGTCCTTTTAACTAATTATTGTTCAATAAACGAATTAATTAAGTCGAATAAATGAAAATTTGAAGAGAAAAATACATTATCGAGATTTTTATTGGATTGGAACAAAAGTTCGTAGCGTTACTTTAAAATTCAAGCTGCAATTTTGTTAATGGATGAAATTTAAATGTAAAAAAAGAGTAAACTTTTTAAAACTTAAGATCTCTACTTTCAAAAAACTATTACATCTTTTGAATTTTTATAAGTTTGGAAATTTTTATATATAGAAAACTACGAACAAAATAGGAAATTCTTTGGTCACTTTGTAGACCTGTCTTGTATCCAAAAAATACTTGCAAAAATTTTCGACCTTTTAACGGAAAAGTTTTTCCCTGTAATAAAACTCTTTTTTTTTTAAATATTCCTAAGATTTTTTGTTACTGAGTTGTCGCGGATTAAATAAAAGTAGCATTTTGACTTTGATTATTCATAACTCCATTAAAAATCATCATATACTGCATTCAAAAAATATACAGATTCTTAAAGTTAAAACTTTGCTTTATCGAATGTTATAATTTATAAAATTGCCAAATTTTTTTTAAAAGCATATAGATGTGATATACAAATGAAGTAGCATTACGAACTTTTGTTTCAACCAATACAATCTATATCTCATTATTATTTCAAATTAATACGGAAGAATTAACATTTTTACTGTCTTTGTGTGATACTATTTCTTAACAGTAATGGATAATGATGCGAGGAAAAGAAGTTGGTGCTGGAGTTCAGAATGGCAGAGAGATTATAATTGCTAATAAACCTGCTTCTTACTTTCTTGTTACGTTTACTGTTGATGAACTCGGCAATTAAATAGATTGTTACTAAAAAATTAACATATTTGACCTCACAGTTGATTGCTCTTAGAGACATCATTAAGAGTAAATTATCAACGATAGTACTTCAAGTACTTCAACGATAGTACTTAAAAAGATGAAACTGTAAAGTCGCGAATGCAGTAACCCCGCAATAAGGCGAATATGATAATAGTTAATCATTATTATTAGGAAGTCGTTCATTATAATAATTATTCTATTAACTTCTTTATTATAAAGGGGGATAATAAAAAGGAAGTAATTGACCATGCTTTAATCTAAAAAAACATTTTTATTAAAATTTTGCA